CTATCCACTGAGCCAAACCGGTTAGGGCTAGCTTCCACTTCTTAACATAGCCACTTTACAGTGAGGGACAATTTATTCACCTGGCAGAATTTGGCTAAGTTAAATTCCTGCCTAAGGACTTTTGAGTGTTTCTAAATGAAGACTTTGCCATACTTGAAAAATAACATTTTTGTAATTTTAAAGAGCTTGACAGTGTCCTTTCTTACTTTGCGACTGGGTTCAGAAATTTAAAGTATTAATTCCTTATATGAAAATAGAACTCTAGACTTAAAAATGAAACTCAGGCCGTTTTAAACTAGAGTAGTCTTTATGAAGATCCTAATATTCCTTGTTTTTAATATCATACATATTATATGAATCACCACATAATGATCTGATTTAAAAGACATATAGCTGATGTTGTGTGACTTCTTTTCCATGTGGAACTAAGAGACCCATAGTACTATTCTTTGTGTTTGTTTTACAGAGCCATTTCCTGCTTTTAAGTCTTGGCAGGAAGACTCTGAATCTGGGGAAGCTCAACTCTCTCCACAAGCTGGAAGAATGAATCATCACCCCCTGGAAGAGGACTGTCCTCCAGTATTATCACACCGTAGTTTAGATTTTGGGCAAAGCCAGCGTTTCTTACATGATCCAGAGACATTGACTTCCTCATCTAAAGCACTGTCTTTTGCTAGGTATATGATTTTTATGTACTTATGAGGAGTAATTCCTATTATGTACCCAGGTCCTTTGAAACTCAGGCAATGAAGTTCAAAGCTTTCTCCCATATATCATGAAGCACATTTTTGTAACTTAATTTTTTTGATCCCTAAATTCTGGGTTCATTGGGGAATACTGTTTGGGATTTGTTCTCTAATGGAAATTTTCTCACGGTGTATTTATTCATTTAATCACTTATGATTGGATTACAGATCTCTGGAAGGGAAGCAGCAAGTGGAGCTTCTCAAAATTTTGAATTAAATTGATCCTTAATGTCAAAATCTTTCCTGGGCAGTTTGAACACACAGAGAGCTCTGAGCTGCCTAGATATCTTTGTTTTTGCCTTTGCCCAAACAACTTTTGAATGATTTCAAATTGTTTTAGTCAGTGCTTGCATTAATTTTATGGCCTGTAACACTATAGCATAAGTTTCTTTTTCTGATTTTTAGTATTAGGGATATACTTCTTGGTAATAGTATCATGTCCCATAAGGGCAATAAGAGGTACGGTGTTAACTTAAAAATTTAACACATAGTGTTTGCCTCTTGTTTTAATTCAGGATTCGAAGATCATCCTTTAGTGCAAAAGATGAAAAAAGAGAAGACAGAACACCATATCAGTTGGTCAAGAAACTTCAGAAAAAAATCAGACAATTTGAAGAACAGTTTGAAAGGGAAAGAAATAGCAAGGTAAGTTTGTAACATTTCCAGTGTGAGGTAGATCTATTGAAACTGGGAGAATGTATTTGGAGAGCATTAGTCCATCTCTTCCTGGGAAAGAATCTGAGATGCCCAGACATCATACAGATCTGAAATTATATAGATCCTTAGTCTCCTGGTTTTCATGCCAGCTATTTCCATTGGAAAAACAGCTTGTAGAGTTTCATATTTTTATTGATTTCAGAGAAGAAGGGA